GATTGTAAGCCTATATAAGGCATTGCCATGGAACTCGAAAATGATCAAGTGTTTGTAAGAGTTACCATAGGCACTTCTTTGTATTGTTGGTGCAATTAATAAAGGTTGAGAATTTCCTGTAATCTCTTGTTGCTTACTCTTACTTGTTCTAACACTTTGTGTGGGTATGTATTGATAATTGGCTGAGACTAAGTGATGTAACTTAGTGCCATTACATGTTGAAATTTTAAAACAGAAATTGACCCTGTAACAATTGGTATCAGAGCAAGGTTATGCTCTAATGGTTTCTGGCATGGATGCCTTGAAAAAAAGAGTAACGCGGTTGGAAATCTCATGGGTGAACCTGCTAATGAGAACCGTTCGCTGACGAATCGATTGGATGCTGTGGCCTCAGGGTTTTTTGCCCTTTAGACCTTGAGAGCAGATCGGTTCAAGGAGGTGTTGACAGATATGCTTGCCTTGTCTTTGCCCAACATAGGTTACTGCTGCCAACAGATATGCATAACTGTTAATAATTGCCATGTTGTTTGCCTCATCAAGTCAGCCATGAATTTGGTTGTCTTGGCCACCAGACCAAGTCTTGCATATTGATTGCTTTCAACCCCTATGTATGCTGCAGCTCACATTTGGGTCATGTTAATGCCTTGCATCTGTGCAACTGCTACCCATACTTTGGCCAAGGGTTGTGTGCTGCTGTCTCAGCATTTTGTCAACTTTTCACCTTGCTGTCTTGGCATACCACCATCATGCCATGGCCTTGGTTGGACATTGGTGCAAGGTGTTGCCAATGCCAACTATGAAGCCTTCAAGTAGAAGGTGCTAACAAACTTCCGATAGTGAGGGGAGCAGCCTTCTTTGAATATCCCTCAAAAATAGTCATTTGGGCTTTTATTTTATTACAAGAGTCCAACCAAAAATACAGATAATACAAAAAAGAAAACATTGTGATTTATCCCCTAGCTTGATCCTGCTAAATCTCGTTATCTGAAAAGGGTAACAACTATAAACACATAGCAGAGTGAGAAATATCATACCGCGAGTATAAGGGCACAAAATAGCCATGGATAGTTATTTAAGTTAAAACATTAACATAATTTAAGTTAAATAAACAAATCATTTAAGTGGCAGAAACTGAAATACAGAAATTATGTAAATAACTATAGCCATGGTACAGAACAGAATAGAACAGAACAGGAGTCACTGGAGTGATAATCAGTGCAGGGGTCAATGAATCTATGACAAACAAAGGACCACAAAGTGGCCAAACAGGGGCCAATGGTTACTTAAGTCCCCCAAGGCATGAGACTCCTATAGTGGTACTTACAGAAAATAATTGTTTACAAGATCTTTGTCAAATACTTCTAAAATTTAAACAAACATATCCATTGGCTTGCATTTAAGCAAATAGAGATCAGAAAATAATCCACATAATTGAAACATTAATATAACTACAAAACATAAATTATATAAAATAAATTGTGGTAACTCAAAACATTTGTGCAATATATTATGGTAACTCAAGACATATTGAAAATATATTATAGTAACTCAAGGTATAATATAACTCACCTTAAGATTGATTCTTAACTTTGAGTTTTCTACTACAACTCCCAGCTATACTCTCTCGCTTCTCGAAGCTCATTGGTACCTCACTACGAATGGGTTCTAATTTCTCGTCCTTACTTTTTTGAAGCTTACTGCACTGATACTTCACTATTTATAGGCCCATTCTCTTGCTTGCTACGCAAGTCCTAAGCTCTATGATTGCCACGTTGCTCCATTTCTCGACCACGTTTCTACTCTGTTGGTTAGGAGAAGTGATGCCACCTGTATTATTATCCGATGAATTTGTCCAAGAGCCATTAACCCCTTGTCCTTTTTACCAGCCACTAAATCCTTGACCTTTTTACCATTCTAAGAGTTATTACTCTTCGGTAAAGTTGTGTTTTTTTATTTTATTTTTTTAATGATTATTAACTAGGTTCATGTCCAAAAATCTCACCACCAAACTACACAACATCACTTACCGCTTACTCAAATATTTTATTTTATTTTTTATTTTTATTGTTTTTAAACCACAAGCTTCCACTAATTCATTTTTTTTTGATATAATAAGGAATTCTATTTATTAATTACTCATTATTTATTTATTATTTTTTTTCTTTTCTTTTTGTTTATATATATATTGCCTACTTATGAGTGATTGATATCATCACGGTATTGAATTAAATTAAAAATTTGGGTGTCACATTTCTCCCCTCCTTAAAAGAAGTTTGTCCTCAAACTTGACATACCTTGCTCTTCAAAGAGGTGTGGGTACTTGGCTTGCATTTGGCTCTCAATTTCCCATGTCACTTTCTCGACACGATGGTTTCTCCATAAGACTTTCACAAAAGGTATAGTCTTATTTCGGAGGATTTGATCACAACGATCGAGAATCTGCACAGGCTGTTCTTCATAAAAGTGGTCTTCTTGAACCTCCAAGTTCTCATAATCGACAACATGCCCTGGATCTCGAAGGTACTGCCAAAGCATCGAAATGTGAAACACATTGTGGACATTGGACAGGTCAAGTAGAAGCGCAAGGCGATATGCCACATGACCAATCCTTTCTAGTATCTCGAATGGCCCGATGTAACGTGGGTTTAACTTTCCTCATTTTCCAAATTGGATAACCCCTCTTGTAGGTGAGATCTTTAAGAACACATAATCTCCTATTTGAAATTCTAAGTCCCGTCTCTGTGTATCTACATCGCTTTTCTGGGCAGTGCGAATTCGTTGTTGGATGAGTTGAATTTTATCGCTCGTTATTTACACAATCTCGGGACCTAACAGTTTTCTGTCTCTGACTTCCGTCCAACACAGAGGTGATCGACATTTTCTTTCGTATAGTGCCTCGTATGGTGCCATTCCAATACTTGCATGGTAGTTATTATTATAAGTAAACTCCACCAAAGGTAGGTGATCATCCCAATTACCTTTGAGGTCTAGCACACACACACACACACACGTAACATATCTTCCAAAGTTTGGATTGTTCTTTCAGATTGCCCATCAGTTTGCAGGTGATAAGCCGTGCTAAACTTCAGAGTGGTTCCCAAAGCTTCTTGCAATTTGTTCCAAAAGTGACACACGAAGCGGGGGTCTCTAACGAATACGATTGAAACTGGGGTGCCATGCAAATGAATGATTTTCTTAATGTATAGAGTGGTGAACCTAGAAAGAGAGTACATGATTCTGATTGGTAGAAAATGTGCCGACTTCGTCAATCGATCTACGATAACCCATATTGCATCATTCTTCACTGATTGCGATAGCTCGACCACGAAGGCCATAGTAATGTGCTCCCATTTCCATTCGGGAATAGGGAGTGATTGTAGCATTCCTGCAGGTCTTTGATGTTCTGCTTTAACTTGTTGACAACACAGGTAGTTGGAGACATGGCTTGCTATGCCTTTTTTCATTCCTGTCCACCAGAAGTGTTCCTTCAGATCGTGATACATCTTCGTATTGCCAGGGTGGATCGCAAACCTCGAGCTATGAGTTTCTGCCAATATCTTTTTCTTAAGTTCTGGAAGGTCGGGTATGCAAATTTGATTCTGAAATTTTAGCATCCCATTGCTTATTGTGAAGTCAGGATCGAGCGTGCTTCCTTGCTCCTCGTACTTTTTTTTCAAAAGTTTATCTTCACATTGGCGGATTCTAATTTCTTTAATCAACTCGGGTTCCATGATTATGTTGGCGAGCAATACATTGATCTTGCGGGAAACGAGGGTACATGCCAAACTTTTGGTTGCCTTTCGACTTAATGCATCTGCTACTATGTTAGCTTTACCGGGATGATGAATCTCTATATCGTAGTGCTTCGTAAATTCTAGCCATCGTCGTTGCCTTATATTCAGATCCTTTTGTGAAAACAGATATTCAAGACTCTTGTGATTAGTGTAAATCTCGCAGGTTGTACTGTAGAGATAATAATCCCAAATCTTGAGGGCGAAAATCACCGCAGCCAGTTTTAAATCATGAGTTGGGTAGTTCCTTTCGTGAGTCTTTAGTTGGTGGAAGGCATATGCAATGACTTTCCCATTTTGCATAAGAACGCAACCCAAATCATTGTATTAGGCATCACTATAAATTACGAACCCTTCTGTTTCCACAGGGAGTGCTAGTGTCATGACCCGATCCCGCCCCTAAGGATTAAGGTCATAACTAGCCAATAATCATATGATTATCTACAGCCTCAAACAATTTCAGAAATATTAAAGGGGCCAAAACGGAAGCAGATTTGAAAACTCCGTCCAATGAGCTGTGCTTACATGGTATAGCAAAATCATTCCAAAACAGAGTTTTCGAATCTGCTTCCGTTCTGGCCCCTTTAATATTTCTGAAATTATTTGAGGCTGTAGATAATCTTATGATTATTGGCCGGTTATGACCTTAATCTTTAGGGGCGGGATCAGGTCATGACAGAGTGGTATCAGAACACAAGTTAATAACTTACACACTTGTCCAAATGAGCAATACGCATCTAGAAAAGATCTAGGATGCATTCATGTGATAATTATGTTCTTGAAGACATCGAGAATATACTTAGACGTTTCAAAACAAATAAATGATTATGTGCTATATACTTTGTGATAATGATTATGTGCTATATACTTTGTGATTTGCTCACATTACGACTTACTTGAATATATATGCTTTATTGTATGTGCATACTTGTGAATATTTTGAGTAAAAAATAATGCAAGTTTAATCAGATAATGGTGAGAACAAGAGGTGATGAGTTAGAGGAGTCCTCTATTGCTAGAATGGATTAGGTGGAAAGACTAATAGAGGAAATGGCAGAAACATTGAGACAACAACAACAGTGGTAGCAACAATGGCAACAGCCACACCCTCCGCCTCCGTCTCCACCTCCACCTCCACCTCCAGCGCTGCCTATACAAGATCTACATAATGATGACCGAACAATTGCCTTTACCAAAGAGTTTAAGAAGATGAAACCGCCACAGTTTCATGGGGGATTAGATCTGTTGAATACTGAAGCATGGGTCCTTAGCATAGAAAAGTTATTTGAAGTGTTTCCTTGTCTAGAAACACAGAAAGTAATGCTAACCACCTTCATATTAGAAGACGAACCACGGAGGTGGTGGATGTTGATCCATGAGAGTAATAAAGATATTGGCTGGACACGATTCTTGGAAATTTTCTATGAGAAATATTTCCCACAATGTGTCCGGGATAGGAAAATGTCAGAGTTTATGGAACTCAAGCAAAACAACATGTTGATAGCAGAGTACGAGGCCAAGTTTACTGAATTGGCCAGATTTACACCACACATGGTCGATACTGACTATAAGAAAGTAAGACATTTTGAGAGAGGCCTTCGAGATGATATCTTAGATAAGATGAATGTACTAAAGCTAGAAACTTACATTGATGTATTGGATCGGGCCATAATATCAGGAGCTAATCTAGCTAGGCAGAGCAAATCACCGTTTGATTGGAAAAGTAAAATGAAAGGCTTTTTCTCAAAGAAAAGGGTTTCAAAGAAACAAAATACAGGCTCCTCAAGAACTTCAAATTCTTCCTAAGATATATCTCCAATGTGTAGCCAATGTGGTAAAAGGCACTGTGGGGTTTGTTACCGTCTTTCGGGGGCCTGCTTCAAGTGTGGTAAAACAGAGCACATGGCCAGGGATTGTAATCAAAACAACGGGAAATTAGCTGCTAGCTCAACAACATTGATCCCAAAACTGGGAAACACTACAAGGCCTACTACCATCGGAGACACCGTAAGGCAATGGAGAGTTTTTGCGCTTGTTCTGGGCGATACGCGGAACGCAGAAGCCGTTGTCTTAGGTACTATCTTTATATGTAATCAAGATGCTTTTGTGTTAAGTGACTCCAGATCAATACATTCCTTTGTGACTTATGCATTTGCATCTAGATTGAGTAGACCTCTAGAATCATTACCATATTGTTATGTGTATCTGCTTCATCCGGGGAATCTTTGTTATGTACATTTGTGTGTCGATTTTGTGATATACATATTGGAGATGCTACCTTGTATGTAGATTTGTTACCCTTGGACTTTAGACATTTTGATGTAATCCTGAGCATGGATTGGCTATCTAAATACTGTGCTACAATTGATTGTGTGACGAAACGGGTCGTATTTAGACCACCGGGACAGGAAGAAATCGTGTTTGTGGGTAATGGGATAGTGCCACCACCTTATCTGATATGTATTATGAAAGCATGTAAATTGATCAGGAAAGGGTGTCAAGGCTATTTATGTTGTGTATTTTCTGAACAGTTTGTGAATGTTGAATTCAATAGTATTCTAGTTGTTAGAGAATTTTCAAATGTGTTCCTAGATGAATTGCCAGGGGAATTGGTTGATAGAAAAATAGAGTTTACTATTGATGTTGTGCCAAGAACTCAGCCTATTTCAAAAACCCTTTACAGAATGGCTACTGTTGAAATGAAAGAACTAAAAGAACAATTGCAAGACCTACTGGACAAAAGGCTTATTTGACCAAGCACTTCGCCGTGGGGTGTACCGGTGTTATTTGTAAAAAAAAAAAGATGGAACCTTACGCCTGTGTATTGATTATCGAGAACTGAACAAGGTGACAATAAAGAATAAATATCCCTTACGTCGTATTGATGACTTGTTTAACCAGTTGTAGGGATCACAAGCGTTTTCCAAAATTGATTTGAGATCTGGGTACCACCAGTTGAAGGTAAAAGCAGAGGATGTTGAGAAAACTGCGTTTCAGACAAGGTATGGCCATTATGAATTTCTTGTTATGCCATTTGGGGTGACTAATGCTCTTGCAGTATTTATGGACCTAATGAACTGAATTTTTAAGACTTCCCTTGATGATTTTTTTGTGGTTTTTATTGATGATATCTTGATATATTCAAAGAGTAGACTTGAACATGAATACCACTTGAGAACTGTCTTGCAAACACTTAGAGAAAAGAAATTATTTGCCAAACTAAAGAAATGTGAATTTTGGTTGGATGAAGTTATTTTCTTAGGGCATGTTATCAACAAGGAGGGGATTTCAGTAGACCCACAAAAGATAGAGGCAATTGTGAATTGGTCTACTCCAACGAATGTAACAAAAGTCCGCAGTTTCATAGGCCTGGCCGGGTATTACAAACAGTTTGTAAAGGATTTTACGAAAATAGCAGTACCACTTACCTAACTCATACGCAAAGGACAACCCTTTGAGTGGACTGATGAAAGAGAGTCTGCTTTTCAGAAATTGAAGACAAGACTAACCACTGCACCAGTTTTGACGTTGCCCTCAGGTATAAAGAATTTTGTGATATATAGTGATGCTTCTTATGAAGGTTTGAGCTGTGTACTAATGCAGAAGGGAAATGTGATTGCCTATGCCTCTTGACAACTGAGACCTCATGAAAAGAACTACCTAACACATGATTTCGAGTTAGCTACAGTTGTGTTTGCTTTGAAAATCTGGCGGTATTACTTGTATGGGGCAAAATGCGTAGTCTACACAGATCACAAAAGTTTAAAATTATCTATCCAATATATGTCTTCACAGCTCAATGGACTATGTATATTTTACGTGTTTGCTTCTGCAGCCCCTAATTATATGTTATTTTATTAAGAGGCCTTTGGTAATCCACAGATTACTGGCCGGTTACGACGCTAAACCTATAGAGGCAGGTTTGGGTCGTGACAGCTAGTATAGGAGCCGTCACAAGTCTATTCTTCAATTCTTAGAAGCAACCTTCCTGCTTGTCTGTCCATTCAAAGGGTGTGTTTTTTTGAGTTAGCTAGGTCAAGGGTGATGCTATCTTTGAGAAATCTTGCATGAAGCGCCGGTAATAGCTAACTAGACCCAAAAAGCTTCGAATTTCGGACATGTTAGTAGGTCGTGGCCAATCCACGATTGTTGTAACCTTTTGGGGGTCAATTGAGATGCCATCTTTGTTAATGACGTGATCGAGGAAGTGTACACTAGTGATCCAGAAGTCACATTTCTTCAACTTGGCATAAAGGTTGTGATCACATAGTGTCTGTAGAACTCTTCGCAAGTGGTGCTCATGATCTTCTGGCGATTTGGAGTATATGAGAATGTCGTCAATGAAGACAATGACGAACTCGTCAAGATAATGTTTGAACATTTGATTCATGAGGTCCATGAAGGCCGCTGGAGCATTTGTGACGCCAAATGGCATGATAAGAAACTCGTAGTGCCCGTAATGGGTTCTGAAGGCAGTCTTTTCGATGCTTTCTGTTTTGACTTTTAGTTGATGGTAGCCAGAACACAAGTCAATTTTCGAGAATACTTGGGCGCCTTGTAGTTGATCGAACAAGTCGTTAATTCGTGGCAGAGGGTACCAATTTTTTATGGTGACTTTATTTAGTTCACGGTAATCGATGCATAACCTCATTGTGCCATCCTTTTTCTTTACAAATAGTACTGGAGCTCCCCATAGTGAGGTACTTGGTCGAATGAAACCTTTGTCCAATAGTTCCTGGAGTTGAGTCTTTAGCTCTTTTAATTCTATCATGGACATGCGGTAAGGGGCTTTTGAGATTGGTTGTGTACCAGGTTGGGTTTCAATAGTGAATTCGATTTCTTGATCAATCGGAGTACCAGGTAGGTCTTCAGGAAATACATCCGAGAATTCTCGTTCCACAGGGATTTCATCAAGTATGGAGGCCTCTTATTGAGTATTGATCACATAACAGATACAACTACAACAACCCTTTCTTAGAAGCTGTTGGGCAGTCATGAAGGATATAACACATGGAGAGGGAGAGACTCCAGTTCCATCAAAGACAAGCTCGAGTTGGTTTGGTGATCGGAGGAAGACCTTTTTGGCTTCACAATCAATAGAGGCATGGTTGACAGCTAACCAATCCATTCCTAAGATCACATCAAAGGTACTGATGCAAAAAGGAATCAAGTCTACGTGTAAGGCTTCCTTTTTTAAGGATAAAGTACAAGATTTGTACACATCAGTACTAAGGGCCGCGTTACCAAAAAGAAAATACATAGATAGTATATATCCTAAGGGTTCAGGTGTTGATGCCAACTTGGTAGTAAAGTGTGGTGTAACAAAAGAATGAGTTGAACCAGAGTCAAAGAGAACATGAGCTAAGTGACCACAAATAGAAAGTGTACCTGACACAACATTCTCAGTAACTTTTGGGTTTCCAAGTACCAGGGCAAAAAATCTTCCTTGGCGTTTTTTGTCCTTCCTTATTTATTGTCGGTTTTCGGGCTAGTTCAGAAGGGCCGGTCGTAGGATTGGCAAGCTTTGGACAATGTCTCAGCAAGTGGCTACCTTGATCACATCTAAAGCATGCTCCCGTGTCTCGATGGCATTGTCCCTAATGAGTCTTTCCATAGGTAGAGCAAGTTGGAATGATGCCACATCTAGGATTTGTAGGACCTTGATTGCTTGAACTAGTTATGCATGTATTTACCCTCTTGGAAGGCACGACACTGGGTCTTCTATTATCTCTTTCCCAAACTCGCTTCCTTTGGCTTGGTTCCCCAGAACGCAAGGCTTTAATCTCTTTTTTCACAATGTATGCTCGATCCACCACCTCCGCATATGTTGGTAGTTTCAAAATCTCCAGCCTGTCATTGATTTCAACATCCAATCCTGCTTCAAATTTCCTGGCTTTTCGAGTTTTAGTGGGGACGACGTATGTCGCAAATTGAGCTAGTTGCATGAACTTGCTCTCGTATTCGGCCACTGTCATAGTTCTTTGCCTTAGATGTATGAATTTTGCTGCCTTTTGTTTTCGCAGCGAATCTGGAAAGTATTTTTCATAGAATACCTCCAAGAATCTTGCCCAAGTCACAATATCTTATTTCTCCAGGGTAAGAAGCCACCATTCTTGTGTATCGTCTTTGAAGGTGAATGTGGCGAAAGTCACCTTCTGCCTTTCTGTGCAATGTAGCACGCGAAAAATTTTCTCCATATCTCTGACCCAAGCTTTTGTCACCAGTGGGTTTGTACTGCCGGTGAATATGGTAGGTTTCAAGTCCTGGAACTGTTTTATAGTAGTTAGCTCTTCTCGTCGTTTAGGCAATCCGCTATTAATGTTGATTTGTAGGGCTTGTAGAAAACTAGTAACTACTCTTTCCATGATTTGCTCCATTGGATCAGTACCACTGACCGATGATCTGGTTCCATTTCCATCATTAGCCATTACTACAAGGTGAAAACCGGTAGTGAACTCCTCCATTTTTTCTTTTTTTTTTGAACCACTTACGTTGTGTTTGGTTAGAGTATTTGAGGAGGGATTTGGAAAGGGAAAGGGAAAATTTAGGTGAAATGTGAATAAAATATACCGACATTTCACCTAGTTTCACACACCTTTTCTCTTTCCTATTCCAAATTCCCCTCCAAATTCCCTCAACCAAAACACAGTATAGTATCATTTTAATTATCTATGATTCACAAGATACTATTAACAAATACATATCACGATATCATATCTATGATTCATAACAGTACATATATCATTTTTACTTATGCAAAAGAAAACATATTAGTACAACGTACTTAAAATACAGTCAAGAGTAGG